GTCTGCCTTTTGAATTTGTTTTTTGTTTTTTTTAATCTGTTTATTTTTGGTTCGGTTATTGGTTTTCATTTAGTTATTATTTTTAATTATTGTTTTTGTTTTATTTACTTTTATTCATTTTGGACACTAAGAACAGCTGATGGAAGAAGAATTGATGCCTCTGAACTGTGGTGCTGGGGTAAATTATTGCATATGCCACAGACAGCCAGAGCATCCAACAGCTGAATGATATAAAACCAGAAACATCACTAGAAGCCAAATTCACAAGACTACGTCTGATTTACTTTGGCCATGTCATGCGTGCAAATTCGTGGGAGAAGTCAGTGATGCTAGGAATGGTTAGTGCAACAAGAAGAAGGGGCAGGCAAAGAACTCGCTGGCTTGATACTGTCATAGCTGATGCAAAGATGAACATCCAGCCACTGAAAGACGCTGTGTTTGATAGAGTAGCATGGAGAGCATTTACCTAGAAAGTCATCAGACTTGGACATGACTGAACCATTAAAACTATTACTAATTTTTTAAATGTATTTTTAACTTTTTTAGAAGATGGGTATGTGTTTATCCCAAGCAAGTTTAAACTCCTATTAGTTCTAGTAATCTGTTAGACATCATATACATCATAGAATAACAGAGTTAGAAGGGACCTTGGAGGTCATCTAGTCCAATCTTCTGCTCAAGCAGGAGACCTTATACCATTTCAGACAAATGACTGCCCAGTCTCTTCTTGAAAGCCTCCAGTGATAGAGCATCTACAACCTTTGAAGGCAAGCATTTCCACTGGTTGATTGTTCTCACCATTAGGAAATTTCTCCTTGGTTCTAAGTTGCTTCTCTCTTTAATTACTTTCCATCCATTGTTTCTTGTCTTGTCTTCATGTGCTTTGGAGAATAGGTTGACCCCTTCTTCTTTATGGCAGCCCCTCAAATATTGGGACACTGTTCTCATGTCACCCCTAGTCCTTCTCCTTACTAGACTAGATATTCCCAATTCCTGCAACTGTTTTTCATTTGTTTTAGCCTCCAGCAACATACTTGTTGCTTTTCTTTGCACTCTTTCTAGACGAATCTCAACATCTTTTTTACATTGTGATGATCAAAACTGGATACAGTATATTAAGTGTGGTCTTACTAAGGCAGAGGTGTCAAACTACCAGCTTGCGGGCCGGATGCATCATAGCGAAACCGCGCCCACCCCATTGCCGGCAATGGTGAAAAAATCACGATACATCGCAACATGTCACGTGATGTGAGTTTGACACCCCTGTGCTAAGGCTTTGTAAGGGGGTACTAGTACTTCACGTGAGCCTGATTCTATTTCTCTATTAATGCAGCCTAGGCTTGTACTGGTAGTCCTCAACGTATGACCACAATTGACCCCAAAGTTTATGTTGCTGAGAAATTTAAGTGAGTTTTGCTCCATTTTGCGACTTTTCTTACCACATTTGTTAAGTGAACCACTGCAGTTGTTAAGTTAGTAACAAGGTTGTTAAGTGAATCTGGCTTCCCCATTGACTTTGCTTCTCAGAAGGTTGTAAAAGGCGATCACGTGACCTGCAACCGTCATAAATATGAAGCAGTTGTCAAACATCCAAATGTAAATCATGTGACCGTAGGGATTCAGCAATGGTCATAAGTGTGAAAAATGGTCAAGTATGAGACATTATATTTCTTTCTTGGACTCAAATTTCCTTTTCCTGACCATTACCTTGATTATACTTCCTGAAAGTGAGGACAATCAACCAGTAAAACAACCTACCCCCAGAAATCATGGGTGCTCCATCACTGCAGATTTTTAAGAAGAGACTAGACATTCACCTGTCTGAGATGGTATAGGTTTTCCTGTTCAAGCAGGGGGCTGGACTAGAAGACCTCCAAGGTCCCTTTCTATTCTATTCTATTCTATTCTATTCTATTCTATTCTATTCTATTCTATTCTATTCTATTCTATACACCTGTTCCTCCTGCTCCTTTAAGAGTATTATCAGAGCCCAGTGCATAGATTGTACCTGGTCTGGGAGTGTGACCATCAGATGAAATGATGATATCTTGTCACTACTCATATTTATCCAAAACCTCATATGTCCCCACCCCCCAGAGGTGAGGACATCTGCATTATGCAATTCTTCTTCAACAGAGGAAGAATGGATTAAATCCAATCATTTGCTCAATTCATTCTCCCTATTTTTCCACAGTGGGCAAAAGGATATTTCTGAAATGTTCATAATGAATGAATGAATGAATGAATGAATGAATGAATGAATGAATGAATGAATGAAGCATCTTTCTTCCTAGCATCTCCCAAGAACCTTTAATAGACTTTATCTTCATCCTCAGCATCTCAAAATGTTAAGACTCTACAAAGTGTGCAGAGAAGAACAACAAGAATGATTAGGAAGCTAAAACATATGAAAAACATTTGCAGGAATTGGGCATGTCTAATTTAATGAAAAACAGCCAAAAAAAGCTAATACAATCCTGGGTTGTATAAACAGTGGCATAGAATCAAGATCACGTGAAGTATTAGTACCACTTTATAAAACCTTAGTAAGACCACACGTGGAATACATATGAAGAACAGCTGTAGGACTTGGGTTTGGCTAGTCTAAAGAAAAGAAGAAATAGGGATGACATGATAGCAGTATTCCAGTATTTGAGGAGCTGCCACAAAGAAGAGGGCATCAAACTATTCTCCAAAGCACCAGAGGGAAAGAAAAGAAATAATGGTTGGAAACTGATCAAAGAAAGAAGCAACCTGGAATTAAGGAGAAACTTCCTAATAGTGAGGACAATTAACCAGTGGAACAGCTTGCCTTCAGAAATCATGAAAGAGACAATGATAAAATGGACAATGAATTTTGGATACACAATTGAATTAGATAGATGGCAGCAACTATGGGAAAGAAACTATAAATTGACAATGGCGACTGTGTATAAAGAAAATATGTACAAAATATTTTACTGATGGCACAGGTCTCCAGAAAGATTAGCTAAAATGTTTAAGGACAGGTCTATGAAATGTTGGAAATGTCATCAGATACCAGGTTCCTTCTACCATATGTGGTGGACGTATGTAGAAGCTACAACTTATTGGAATATAATTAGAACATGGATAGAAAAGATGATACAACAACGTATAGAACTAAGACCAGAAATATTCCTGTTGGGTATTCTACCAGGGAAATACAATAAAGAGAAAACATATTTAATTATTCATATAATTACAGCAGCCAGGATTGTGTTAGCACAAAATTGGAAAGCACTGAAAGCCCCCCCCCCCCAGAGGGAGAGGTGATTGGGAAAATACTGGAATGTGCAGAAATGAATAGACTAACAATGACAATTAAAGATAAGACAGAGTCAGACTACTATGAAATCTGGGGAACTTTTTATGATTGGCTGAAAAGAGAATATGGTTAAAAGATAGTTAACATCAATTTAGATGGAAGAAGAAGGAGCAGATAAGGAGGGAGACCCAGGCAACACAGTATTGAATAACTGGAGGTTGTATAAATATTTATAGAAGTATATACCAAGAAGGTTAGATAAATAGAAGTATTAATGTAAGAGAAAATTAATTTTATTGTATATAATACAGATAGGGAAATTTGGAGAGAGGAGTTGCTCGGACATTACCCCTGAATTGTATCTGAAGAGGGATGAGAGGGAAGAAAGGAGAGGAGAGAGAAAAGAGTAAAGGAGGGGAGAAGGAAGTAGGAAGGTTGGAGGAGAAAAGGAGAAGTGGGGAGAAAGGGGAGGAGAGTGGTGAAAGAAAGAGAAGAGGAAGAAGAGGGAAGTAGGGAAGAGAAGAAAGGGAGAAAGAAGGAGTGTGGATGCAGTGAAAGGGGAAATGGGCGAGCAACACCAAAAGTCATGTGTATGTATTTATTTCATTTTATTAAAAGTATCTTATATATGAATGTAAAAAGAATGTATGTTAACATCTGATAAATATCATGGTATATGTATGGGGAGAGTTTGGAAAAATAAAAAATAATTTAAAAAAAATCGTGGGTGCTCCATCACTAGAGGTTTTTAAGAGACTGGACAGTCACTTGTCTGAAATAGTATAGGTTCTCCTGCTTGAGCAGGGTGCTGGACTAGAAGACCTCCAAGGTCCCTTTCAGGTCTATTCTATTCTATTCTATTATACATGACATGACATGACATGACATGACATGACAGCAGTGTTCCAATATTGAGGGGCTGCCACAAAGAAGAGGGTGTCAATCTATTCTTCAAAGCCCCTGAAGACAAGACCAGAAGCAATGGATGGAAACTAATGAAGGAGAGAAGCTACCTAGAACTAACAAGAAATTTCCTGACAGAATGATTAACCAGTGGAACAACTTGCCTCCAGAACTTGTGGATGCTCCAACATTGGAGGTTTTTGTGAAGAGATTGGACAACCATTTGTCTGAAATGGTATAGGGTTTCTTCCTTGAGCAGGGGGTTGGACGAGAAGACCCTCAGAGTCCCTTCCAACTCTATTCTTCTGTTCTCTATGAACCTTTCAAATTACTTTTTCAAATGAGCTAAAAACAGTACGATAGTCAGTTCCCTGGGTCTATGATGCATTGTGTAAACAGGATCCCTTTCTCTTGCAGGCCATTCCTCTCATCAAATTGAACTATATACTTGTCTTTTCTCTCTCTTTCACCCCGAAAGAAAAGCCACTAAGCCTGAAACCTTACTCTAACTTCATAATCATTCAAACTGACTTCTTCAGCACTTTCTTCTCTTCTGCACCAGCTAACAGACTCCCTGGGCACAGCCTGCTTTCTATCTCTAAGATACCTTTAATGACAGCACCTCTGCATCTTCCTGTAGCACAACATGTTTCCCCTGTTACATCTTCAGCTGCCATTGAATTCTTAGGTAGAAGAAGCTTGGAGTCACCCAAACTGCTCTTCTCTTTCCCCTTGGGGCTCATTAGGGATAACAAGACAAATAGATAACATGCTGTGTGCATTGCTGGCAAGAAAAGGTCTCATGGCTTACCTGCCTATCTCCTTCCCTTCCTGCCAAGGGGAACGCTGTTGCCGTTCTCCAGATCTCCAGGATGCTTCTGATGACCTCAAGTGGCTTCCAAGCTGTGGCACAGAAGACCAGCTTTGCCAAGGCATAGAGGCTTTTAAAAAGCAGCACGAAGGGAGCAGGAAGTAACTCACTCCACCCAGTCTCCTGTTCTTGCTCTCTCTCTCTCTCTCTCTCTCCTGAAACCTGTCCCATGACAATACCTGCGAGTCTTGCTCACCTGTACCTGAGAAGCAAAATCTTTCCAACTCATGGCAAGCTTTTATGATATCCCCTTTCACTTCTTCCATGCTCAGCAGGCATTTTGCCAAGAAGAGGCTAAACACATCACTGTCATCCAACACCTTTTCTCCTCCCCCTCCCCTTTCTAGCTTTTCTTTGGCCCAAACCCAGTTTGATCAGTGGGTTGTACCCAAGGCAGAAGAACTGCATCATCTTAGTCATGCTTGACCTATCAGGCTCTTCACCACATTGTTGGCTTCTGTCCCGGACCAGTTCTGCTAAGAATCGTTTCTTCCCCTCCTCTGCAGGTGGATGGATGTCATCTGATTTTATATCATAATCTTCAAAGACTCCCAGGTAGGGCTAAACTTAATCTGGATCTGAATACAAACTATTTAATTTCACATATCTAAACCAAAGAAAAGATAAGAGCGTTTCAAGTTGGGAGTGATTCCTTAGAACTTCACAGGCTTCATGTAATTATTTTGACAATGGTTCAGAAGTGGTGGTGGGGGGGTTCCATTATCTTATTTTAGAAAGTTGCTTCAATTTCCCAATCTAAACTATTAGCGGTAATCCTTTTAGTGGTCTCCGAACAACTAATCAGGTCTGCACAAACTGGATTTGAGGTATCATTCAAAATTTGCAGTTTTCCAAAATTCATATTGCAGTTTTTATCTTTTTTTATTTTAAAATATGCTAGAGAAAAGACACCCCACCGATGCATATATCGAATGAAATACATGGATGAAAAGAATGTGCAAAGGTGGATTATATTGGGGGTACTGTTTGCAAAAAATCACATTTTGCATACTAGGCAAATTGACCCACAAAACTGCATGTATTTGAAAAAAACCATGTATCAACATACGTATCACCCTTTGCAAATTCTTGAATGCATTTGATCTATCCGCAAAAAATGAATTTAGAATGCAGTTCTGCCATGCCACTTTTGATCACTCCATGAAATTGTGGAGAGAAGGAATGCAGTGATTTATAACAGGAAAGTCATAAATACATGAGCAGCATGTAATTTCACCTTGTTTCTATTTTTTTTCATGGTGTGGAGGTGGGTGGAAACTTGAAAATCTAGAAGTTGAAGTTCAATTCATCCCAGAGAGAGTTGCTTTACGATACAGATTTTTTTTAAAAAAGAAGAAGCCACTCAGTTTACAGATGATTTTAGAATTTCTTTTATATGTGGGTGTGGTTTTATATGCAGCCCTCATGGATACAACAGTTAAAACAATCTTGGCAATGTTTTCTCGAGTTCCAGAATCCTCTGAGCCTCAGGCCTTTAGCTCCTGCCAGCCTGTTCACTGGGCAACTTGAAATAAGAACAGCAATTACACCGTAATCTTGCGTTTCCGGGTATTTCTTTGCGTGCACAGCATGCTTTCTAATTAGGAGGCAGCCTAAATCTAACTTATGTAAGCTGTCAATCATTCAATCTAAAGGTAGGAAAACCTGTTTGCATTAGCAGTTGAGTCATCACTTTTGGAGACACAGATAGTCTTCGAACGTACGACCGAAATTGGGAGCAAAATTTAAACTGCTAAGCAAGGTGACTGTTGCAGTTGTGCCCAGTTTTTACAACCTTTTTTTTGCCATGGTTGTTAAGTGAATTACTGTAGTTATTAAGTGAATCATATGATCATTTAATGAATCCAGCTTCGTCCATTGACTTTGCTTGTCAGAAGCAGATTGGGAAGATCACAGAGGGCAATCATAGGATCCCAGGATGCTGCGACCATTGTAAACACTTATTGGTTGCCAAATGCTCAAGTTTTGATCTCATGAGTGTAAGGATGCTGTGGCAATCATAATAATAATAATAGTAAAGTTGGAAGGGACCTTGGAGGTCATCTAGTCCAATCCCCTGCTTAGGGAGGAAACCCTATACCATTTCAGACAAATGGCTGTCCAGTGTGAGGACTGGTTGTAAATCACTTTTTTCAGCAGCATTGTACCTTGAAATGTTTGCTAAATGAATCATTGTAACGCAAGTTCTACTTGTATGTTTTTACCACCAATGGCAACAAGGAAACCCGACAGAACCACAACAGCTGAAAAGAAGCTTGTTCAATTCTACTTTCCCTAAAACATTCTGAAAAACACAGGCCTTTTTTTTAAAAAAAAAAAAAAAAGTACATTGTTCTTGGCAATATATCCATAATGTTAAAATACAAGAATAATGTTGATATGAACATCGATGTACATAGATTGAATTGTGAGAGTCGGAGAAGATCTCTTTGAGCGTTTAGTCCCAGTGCAATTATCAACAACAGATGTCTCCCTAGCTTTCCCTGAGTGACCAGAAGTTTAGTAAAATAACTCAGCAAACCCCCCTTGCCCCATGCAAAATATGTAGACTTTGAATTAAAATAATACATTCAGTGGAACTTGAGCCCATTCAAGCATAATCTGACTTATACTATTCTATCAACTTTACTAGGCATCCATAATGATTTTTCAATATTTCTGAGTTTGTTTGTTATTGGCCCAGAGGCCAGCCAAAACAGAGAAAATGAAAATTAGACTATAATCTTCTTCTAAAACAAATTGTGACAGAAACTGAGGATGAAGATGTTATGTCTGTCCTGAAATGTAACTGAACCAAACAAACAAAACAAAAAAAACCCCAATGATTTAAGCCACCATTCTCTTCAAATATCTCTCAATAGCATTTTCACCTGAACAGAATCTGTGAGAACAGGATATTTCAGCTGGAAGATCAAGATGGAGGTTCTATTGTCACAAAAGCTTCAGAAAATCCTACAACCTATAATGGTGGGGCCCAAGAAGGAATTTAGAATAGAATAGAGCTGGAAGGGACTTTGGAGGTCTTCTAGTCCAACCCTCTACTCAAGCAGGAGACAAATGGTTGTCCAATCTCTTCTTAAAAACCTCCAGTGTTAAACTACCTACAACTTCTGGAGGCAAGTCTTTCCATTGGTTAATTGTTCTCAGTGTTAGGAAGTTTCTCCTTAATTCCAGGTTGCTTCTCTCCTTGATTAGTTAGTTTCCAACCATTGTTTCTTGTCCTGCCCTCTGGTCCTTTGGAAAATAATTTGACCCCCCTCTTCTTTGTGGCAGCCCCTCATATCTATCGTGTCACCCCCTAGTCCTTCTTTTCTCTAGACTAGCAAAACCCAAATCCTCGAAAGTTCTTCATATGTTTTCATCTCCAGGCTTTTAATCATCTTTGTTGCTCTTCTCTACACTTTTTCCAAAGTCTCAACATCTTTTTTGTAGTGTGGTTACCAAAACTGTATGTAGTATTCCAGATATGGTTTTACTAAGGTTTTATAAAGTGGTACTAACACTTCACGTGATTTTTATTCTATGCCTCTGTTTATACAGCCAAGGATTTTATTGGCTTTTTTGGCTGCTGCCACACACTGCTGGCTCATATTTAAGTGATTGTCCACTAGGACTCCAAGGTCTCTCTCACAGTTACTGTTTTTGAGCCAAGCTAGACCCCACTGTCATTCCCAGTAGGATTAAAGCAAGAAGGGTCCCTTTTGCTTTAAAAAGTAAGATTGACACTGAATTAGACAAACTAATCCAACAGGGAATCCTAGAAACTGTTGATTCCAGCCCGTGGGAGACCCCCATTGTCACGCCTCTAAAGGCAAATGGGGACATTCGCATTTGTGCTGATTACAAATGCACACTCAATAAGGCATTGCAGCAACATGCCTATCCTGTTCCTGTGGTCAGTCACATCCTGGCATCTCTCAAGGGGGGGCGTGTTTTTGCAAAGCTTGACCTAGCTCAAGCATATCAACAGCTGCCTGTGATGATGATGCTGCTATAGCTCAGACCATTGTGACCCACAGGGGAGCCTTTAAGGTAAAAAGGCTACAGTTTGGAGTGAATGTCGCTCCTGGGATTTTCCAAAGCGTAATGGAAAACACACTACGGGGCATACCGGGGGTTTGCCCCTACTTTGATGATGTCTTAATTGCAGGAGACTCCACACACATTCTAGCAGAAAGGCTAAGGGCTGTTCTGTTAAGATTCAGGAAAACAGGCCTCAAGCTCAAAAAAGACAAATGCAAAATTGGGGTGCCTTCTACTGAATTTCTGGGATTCAAAATTGATGCTGCTGGAATTCACCCTGCTGAATCCAAACTAACTGCCATTTTAGATGCACCTAGGCCAAAGTCCAAGGCCGAACTTCAGGCCTTCCTGGGTCTCCTGAATTTCTACAATTCTTTTCTTCCACATAAAGCTAGTGTAGCTGAGCCTCTTCACAGGCTACTAGACAAACAGGCTGTTTTGGCTGTGTCACAAGCGCATTGAGGCTGCTTTAAAGAAGTCAAGGCCTTGCTCACTTCTAACAGTGTTCTTGCACATTTCAAACGAGTCTCTCCTTGTGTGCATGCTTGTTGATGCGTCCCCCTACGGGGTTGGAGCTGTCCGAGTCACCTCAGGTCTGATGGAACTCAGGTTCCTATTGCATACTACTCCAGAACACTGTCTTCTGGCGAGCGAACTACGCTCAGGATAGCACAGGGAGGACTCATGGCTGTGTTGCTGGATATTAAAAAATTCCACGATTTTCTATATGGCAAGGCATTTCACGGTCTTCACTGACATTAAGCCTCTCTGGGAATGTTACCACATGTAAGGCAGACTCCCCACATCATTTCCCCGAGAATGCTTAGGTGGTCTATTTTCTTGTCGGCATATGATTTTTCATTACTCCACAAGCCTGGGAAAGAAATGGGCCATGCTGATGGCCTCAGTAGATTGCCTCTGCCAGTAGTAGAAGCTGACCCTGCGCCAGCTGTCAACATTCTATCAATCCAAGCCTTGCCCGAGCTCCCTCTTTGTGCCAGGGATGTTGCCGCTGAAACAGGTACAGATCACACACTTTCAAGTGTCCGTTCCTGGGTTTTGTCCGGTTGGCCTGAGCACTGCCCTAGTCCTGAGTTTCAGAGTTTCTGGTCCAAACAGGAAGAACTGTCCCTTTCTCGGGTTGTCTGCTTGAGGGAAAAAAAAGAGTTGCATTCCCACTCAAGGGGGGGAAGTGACTAGGGTCTTAGAACTCCTTCCACGAGGGTCATTCTCGGCCTGTGTCGTATGAAGGCTCTTGCACCCCTCGCAGCCACTTGTGGTGGCCTGGTTGAGATAAAGATATTGAGGCTAAGGTGCACGCATGCCACCTGTGCCAACGATCTCGCCCAGAGATGCCCAAAGCTCCTGTGCATAGATGGGAGGAAACACAGTCCCCATGGTCTAGGGTGCACATTGACTACGCTGGGCCCTTTCAGGGCCAGTTCTTCTTGGTCCTTGTTGACAGCCATTCAAAATGGCTTGAGGTTGTG